TCTCTTGCCTCTCCTCTCTACTTGTCCTCCTCCTCCTCTTCTCCCTTGGCTTCTACCAAGTTCCAGCGGAGGCCCAGCGGAGGCGGAGGGGGAGGCGGCCTCACAGCTCCATAAATCCAGCTTGTAATCAGCGTGTTCCCGACCGTAATGAGCAGGAGATAGTAAAAATATTTGTTGATCATCTCCCAACATGAGGGGGAGGGGATGAAGGTGCAGACACTAACGGATACACATTTTCTTGAAGCTCCTCCGGTGGCATAAATAGCTGTCTGAACATGGGAAAACACACACACACACACACACACACACACACACACTGAGGGCAGACACACACACGGCCTGCAGATAGAGAGGGGAGTCCTGCAGCAGGCGGTGTACCACAGGGCTCTAGTCAGCATTCGTTCTCAAAGAGACAAAAGGACAAAGACCAAAATTGATTCGATTTTTTTTTCAGTTTATTGCACTTTGAATGAAGTTAATTGGAAAAAACTTTATGGCTCATTTATTTTCAGAAGCACTTTAACTTTTCTGACTGACGCCTTTGCACAGACATGCAGCAAAATCTGTAATTGCAATATTTGAAGTAGTTGGAAGTGGATCTGCTGAATGAAGTTAATGTGTCCATTCAAGTGTAGCTGCTGAAAGAAGTTTAAAGTCAAGAGAAAAGCTTAAATCTGCTGAGGTACAAAAAATGACTAATTGAGCTGGAAGTATAATCTGAAGAAAGTAGTGCCTCTTCAGAAGCTGCAGCAGTGTGGAGTCAGTTATGGAGGTTGTGGTATAAGTGTGAGTTAAACCTTGATGGGTCAGACTCCATCTCCAACAAAGGAAGAATGCTGATGATTATTAATGATTATGTAACGTAAAATGCAGAATCTGAGAATAAAACTAAGTCATGGTTCTAAAAAACATAAGTAAGCATTAGTGGCTGTGGCTCACGAGGTAGAGTGGGTCGTCCACACTGGAAGGTTGCAGGTTGAATCCCTGGATCCCAGCAGTGTGAGTGATGGATGCACCTCATGAATGGCCTAATTTTTATTCTAGTGTTTCCTGCAGAACGTTCATTTTCACGCTTTCTATCCAGAGCTCAGAGTTTCCTGTCCCTCGTCTCTGGTCCTGGTTCAGTCTCTCTCTCTCTGCAGCTGCTTTAGCGAAACATCTGGCCTCTCCTTCCCTTCCTGTAACCTGCACCTCAGCAGTTTAGACTCCAGCATTTCCAAATTTGTCATCGCTACACACTGGAAACCAGGAGCTCTGCCCCCCCCACCCCCCCAACACCCTCTCCCCCCCACACACCCCTCCACTGATTTATAGAGCTAGCCTTGAACGCAGGACTGTTGCTTGTGGAGCCGAGCCCATTTTCTCCAAGGTGGGGGGGGGGGGGTGATTTCGGTCGGCCTGGTGTTGGCCTCTCAAACGTATCACCGTGAGTTATTGGATTGGATCGCAGTTCTGAGGTTTTAGTTTTGGAATTACACCGTAATCGTACAGCAACTAAGTGTGGTACTTGCTGAATTATGAGTTGAGATACAGAAAGTACACATGTGGAAAAAAAGGAGGACACTGGAAACCGTCTCTCATTTCTTTAATCTCAAGATGTCGTCCATTCAAACTGTGCCAGTAAACAGCATTTTGGGTTTACTTGCACTCGCTCTTCTTTTTACCTATTTACACATGAAACACATGAAATTAATTTAAACGCTTCGTATATTCGGTTACAGTTAATTAATAGACAAAACTGTACTCAAGGGACAGTAAAGTTTTTCTACTTGAGTAAAAGTAAGTAAGTAATTGTCTTTAAACATACTTCTAATGTCTATGGTCTAATGTAACCTGCCCGCTCTGATTGGATTGGATCTTGTTATTGATTACTTTCTCGAAAATAGATTAGAAATTGTAAATAGAGCAGAAAGTACAGATATTTGCTGACGCATGTAGCGGAGTTAAAATTAAAAGCCCCGGGAACTAAATAAGTAAAGTACAGATAAATTAAAAATACACTTAAAGCCACCACAAGGAACTTTTCATTTTTGTTGATCTTGGCGCCTCTGTGGACACAAGTGTTTCTGTCTCCTGTCTAAAAAGCAGCAGGTGCATTTGAAACAAAGCTGTTTGCAGGATGCACATGAGGAAATGCATGATTGATAACTGTAATATGACGATATTAATATTTTGATTTAGTGCCGTTCATGCACTGACCCTAACCTGGCGTAAATCGTTTCCTCTGACTTCATAAGGAGGTCATCAAGACATCAATATTAAAATGAGTTCGTTTCATACCCAGTTAAAAACTCTGTAGTACGTTCAAGTGCATTAATTTAATGTGTGGGGGACAGAAAGAAGCTTGTCTCTGTCCCCTCCCCTGTGTCTCCTCTGGGTTTGTTTCCTGGGGGGCGTGGCTCTCTGCTCACCCTCCTCCTACCTGAGTTTCCTTCCTCATTATCAAGTCCACCTGAAATCAATCTGGATCCACACCACACCTGATCCCTGCTGCATGCAAACCCTGCTGCTTCACTCCACGCTTCGTCAGATCCTCTGTGTACAGGTAACGTTGTGATGAAAATGGTTCACTGTCTTTTCCGTGTCTGAGTTGTGCAGTTCTCTCACATCAGCAAAGATGATAGGCTGATGTACTGGACACAAGGTGACCTGCTTGGACCCCTCTCACCCTGCAAGGCCCAGTATTGATATCTGGAGTTTAAGGTGCAGGACATGTCAAATAAAAACAAATTTCATTTAGTCACATTCACCAACCATAGAAAGTACTGCATGCAGTCAAATCCTTTATAGGACTCTCCTTGATGTAAAGATAAGATAAAAATAGACAAATGTACTATTTAGAGAACAATCTGGAGTGCGGAAGGAAAGAAGAACTATATACATGTATGAATGATATGTATCTAGTAAGGATAGGATCTCACATCAGGAACCACCCGGATATTTTAAAAAGCAGTCACATACAGCTGCATGCACAAACAAGCAAATAAGTCAAGCAGCAGTCACAATTTTCTTTGCACATTTGATTATGTTTCTGTTATAAAAAGGGTTTTAGCAAAACATAGTTTGTTTTCCTATAATTAATGAGCAAATGTTGTCATGTCTGTAACAAGAGCTGCACTGAGACAAACTCCGATCAACTGTGTGGATGTGGAAAGAAAAGTCATTTATTTAGAAGCAAGCAGCCAAAGTCAACAGTCCCATATCATATGAAATAATATATAATGTAATATAGGAACCTCGGCCAAGGAGCTTCTTTTTTTTGTCATCAACATTTGTGTGGTAGCAGGATTACACAAAAACCCCCGGACAGATTTCCATGAAGGACGTGGGATTGGTCGGGTAAGAAAAAGTTCAGCTTTTATCAGTCCACAAAGCTGAAGCTATAAATGCAACATAGTATCTTTAATGCTATAGATGATCAATACATTTTATCTCACTGTTTTTATGGGATGGCAAAGTGCATTTGTTACAAACGTTGTCACTCCCTGAGACTTTAAGGTCAGAACACCGTGAACGGCTGTTGATAAGCACAGGCACTCTGTCAGTCCCTGTAGTAATACTGCAGAAATATTAGAGGACTAGTCTTTTCGATGCCTCTGCCAGGAAGTTATATTTACAGCCCGGTCCGTTTGATGGTTTGTTTGTGAGCAAGAATACTCAAAAACACAGATTTCCAGCAAACTTGGTGAAAGGATGTATGTGTCAAAGAAGAACCCCATAAATCATTTTTTAAATACAACAGATAGAACATTTTCAACATTTTTCCTCTGGGAATAATTCATGGATCCTGATGAAAAAAATCAGACATATTTGGGAGAGTGATTTCTATGAGTGAGCAATTTAGTGCTGCTTGATTGAACTTGAGGGCTTTGGCGGAGGTATGCACTTAAATGGGTGCCATTCTGGTTATTGGATGTTAGAGCCCCTGATGGTTACCTGCTGATGTCGAATGTGGGCAGAGAGTCACACGTGTCCAGTTTGTCTGGTGATTTTATGTCACTGCAACATCTGACTCTTGTTGGTGTTTCAGTTCATGATCATGACAGACACAAACATCATGTCCAGTTAACAAAGAAGCTGTTTTGTGAAATGTAGCCTGAAATTCAAATTCTTCAGAGACTGAAGTATGGAGGTTTAGTTGACGTTTACTTCGTCTATACTGGGATTATTTGATTATTTGGTATTCGTCTTGTGTAACCATTAGAAATGACTGACACACACACACACACTGTTACTGCAGACGGTGATTTACTCCAAGGTTACATCCTGTTGTTGTAGTTGTAAAGAGAACTAAGTGCTCATTTCTGCAGAAATATGAAGTAGTTCCCAGCTGCTGTGTTCCCACAACAATCCCTCCCTCACTGCTACACGCACACACACACACGCACACACACACACACCAAATCCCCAAAATAACAAAACACAACCTAACAAAGTCTCTTTTCAAAGCACAGCAGGTAATTAAACTCATCATTACAGTCAAAACAAAATAAAAACCCAACAAGCTTTAAATCAAGATAACAGGTTACACTCTGTTCATTCCATGTAGTGATTTGTGGCATAATGAGTCAAGTGGAGCAGCCTTTTAATTTCCTTGTATTAAATCCTGTCCTGACAACCTGCTGTCTAATGCTCAGATAGTGATGGGACGTCTTCACCAAAGGTATGTCTGTTCTTTTACTGTGTGTGTTTTATTTAACCCTCATATGGTCGGAAAAACTTTTTTCAAGCAGGATAAACAACAAGCCTTGAACTTATCAGGAGATTCACTAGTTTTTGAGTTCTAATGTTAAATTAAATAACTAAATACGTTTTTCACAATTCATTGTCTTTACCAACAGCTTGAGATAAAAAGAAAGGGTTCTTGTAGAATGTAAATGGTGAAATTAAATCCTGTCCTTCACTTGACCAAGCTGCTAATTTGTTTTGAAAGTAGCGTCTTTTCATTCCTCATCACTGTCTCATTGCAACACTTTGCTTTGAAGTGTCGAACACCACCAAGAGAAGCTAGAAGGTCAGTTAACACAAAAGATAAGAAACAGGGGGAAAGTTATGTCACGTGTTCTGATCATCACTCTTTGTCTGCCTCCGCGGCGGCTGTCAGAGGGTGTGTCCCGTTCCGTCCAGGTGGGGGCGTCTGATTGGCTGAGATACCTCCTGACAGCAGCTCTCCCATGCTGCCACAGTACAGCAAGGAACGCATGGGCCACTTCTGAGGAGACGGCACAACATCACAAGTGAAAACACATCAGGACACATGTGACAACGTCATTGTGACAACCCGAGAAATTCTGATGAGGTGAAAGTTTACTCGGAGAAACTTAAAGCAGCCGTGACCTTTAAATGTTCACCAAACAAGCAAGCAGTGAAAAGTAGCGCTAAACAATAAAATCTAAATTCCCACATCAGATGATCAAATCATCTTTTCAAGTTGATTCTGAGCATTTACTTACATTGAAAGCTTTGTCATTAATTTAGGAAAACTCAATTAAGAACTACCTTAAATGACTGAGAAACAGCTTTAGTTTTTATTTGAGGTATACCATGACATTTAAGTTTGGTCTAGTATATATATATATACACACACTCCATGTAATGTATATATCAGTAGCAGTCAGTGTAGGGTATGATCAGAAGTAGGTTGTTGGTTCCCAGCGGTACCTTAACAGGATGCAGGTATCCTCCTGACCTGGACGACAGGGCGTGCTCAGCCACTAACTCTCCCTGGTCCAGGGTCTCTGTTAAATAGGCTATGTAGTTAGTAGCCAGAACCAGAACATCCAGCTTGGATAACTTGGTGTCAGGTGGGACTGAGGGCAGAGCAGCCTGCGGAGAGAGGAGGAAGTGGACAGGGTCGGATCAGAAATCGGACTCTGCTCTCATCTTAATTTGTTAATATCAAAATCAGAAATATGGGCTCAGGAAGAATGTGTTAAATATTGGTCTGGATGTGAACAGAGATTAATTAATTGATCACTTTCTTTAACATTGCAAGAGTTTTTTTTTGACATTTACACAAATTTCTGAGGGGATTAAATAATTGATAGTGATGGTCTTAAAATCAATGAGTGTATATAATTTTGTGAGGCTTGATTGAATTTAAGGGGCCTGCTGGGAGATATGGGTTCTACTGAGTGATAATGTAGTTTGCAATTGTTACAGAAAAAATACAGAAAGGCAACATGGTCCAACATTTCACTGAATGCGTGTAGGAAACACTGAAGATGCTAAAAAATAAGTCATCTCTCATCAACCTGTGTTGTGCTCTGGCTTCCTGTTTGTTACAGGATTGATTTTTAAATGTTAATTTTTAAATCACTTAATGGACTGGCACCGTGTTACCTAGCTGGACTACATATTAGATCTGCTCCCTCTCTCGCACGCTTCACATCACTGTTAAAGACACATCTCTCTTTTATCTACTTTTCCAGTTGAGAACACTATTATCAGAGCAGATTTTATATTATGATATATTGTGTATTGCCCTTTTCTTGTTATACATTTTACTTTGTAAAGCACTTTGGTCAACCAACTTGTTTTTTTACATTGACACCAAACAGGAAGGGGCAATACCCGGAATAAAACTCATCGTTTACTCAATGAAATGAAGTTTAATTTAACGTTTGCTGTCTGTGTCTGCGATGTACCTGCAGACTGTGGAAGGCCTGTCGCAGGTTGCGTACGCGGCTCCGCTCTCGTGCTGCATTTTCTGGGGAGTGTTGACTCCTCAGCGTCCTGGACTGGACCGCGGACCCACAGATGGGACCAGAGTGAAGCCTGGACCCACACGTAGACTGTATCTGCAGCAGATGACACGTTCAGAGAAGATCAAACTAAATCTTCATCAGATCCGTACGCAATTTCTTAAAGGTCTACCTTGATTCTGGAAAGACATCAAAGAATATTAACAATCGTTTCTTTCATTTGAGTTTGAATGAGCCTCCAAGAGAAGCATTTGAAAAAATGTGCTTCAAGCTGATGCTTTAGTGCTTAATTTACGTCCTGTCTGATTGCCAGAGAATAAACTGTCATTCACACATCCTCCTTATTACTAGTTATTTGTTCAAGTTCACTGAAATTCCCTGGTTGGGTTCTTGTATTGCTTCCATCAAATCCTTAATTCTTATGGGCAGATTAATGTTATAATTTACTAACCCTCACTCTTCACACAAATGAGGTAGAGCCTAACATCATCTGAGAGAAATGTAAACTTATTAAATTGTGGATAAAGATGGATGCACATCATCCTTCACATATTCTGCTGCAGGAAAGCTCACATCTTCATCTTCAAGTATTGAATTTCACTTATACTCTGCAAGTTATTCTCTGATACAGAAGCATGACGTCCCACAGTTTTACTTATTATTATTCTTTTCTGTTCAAATACCTTTACAACAGTTATCATGAAGCTTGTGGTTGCTCAAAATCATTAATTGTTGCATTGACAGATCTGTGTTTGAAACTAGTATTGTGCTTCTGTTTCAACTGCCAAAACCATGTCCTGCCGAACATTAGCATTTAAATTCTGTTGTATTTATACACAAAAAGAAAAGTACAATAGCTAATATACATTGATGGGTATATTTAAAGAAAGGACACACTTTAATCAGGTTTTAAAGGCTTGAAATTGGACTGTTAACGCAGACTCACCCACTTCCTAGGCTCCCGGCTGCTGTGTGTGCTCTGCCTGTGTCTGTGCAGAGATGCTGGGCTGCCGGCTGCACAGGGCTGCTGGCTCCGCAGCTCCGCCGTGGAGCTTGAGACGAGCTGGTGATTCACTGCGACCGTCCTGAGACCTTCCAGAGGATTAACGGCCATGGATGCAGCCTTACTGGTGCAGCAGACTTCCCTAAAGAACTTCAATCACTTTTGTTCAGTCTATTTTTAATGGATGGATTAAAGTTTGCTTGCCCTTAGTTAAAAGGTTGTTGTCAGACGATCATTACTTAAGTTATCTACAAGACAAACAGTTTGAGGTCATCTTTCCATCTGCTCTCAAAGCATCTTTTTAATCGAATCAAGATAAAAATCAAAGTCTGGCTAAAAACAGCTGAGATTACTCATCTGCTCTGAAGAAAATCATTTGATTCTGTGATCTTTTTCATGCACCTACTGAGGACCGTTCCATTCAAGCTCTTCTAAGCTCCTTTTCAAAGTTCACCAGACCTCTGTGGCACCCCAGTTCCACTCAGGCCCCTGAAACAACTGCTGAAAACGCCATAGTCACTTGCTGCTTCTCTGCGCATCATCGTCCATCTACAGAATTCCTCCCAGTCTGACCCTCTCCCTCTCTTCCCGTCTCTCTCTCTGCTTGTTTCCTTATCGGGTGAGGTAATGTGGGGAACTTCATATGCTCCTTATCTCGGCCGCCCGGTCGTCCTGATCCTCCCCTGGCTGTTGGACTGCCAAAAGGAGCAGGCAGGCAGTCAGGCCTGGGGGAGTGCAACGCTGGGTGGGAGGGTGTACCGAGCCAGGGCACTGGGGGGCTTGGGAAACTCAAAGCTCTGCTAACAGCTGGACAGTGATAGGGGGAGTCAGGGGCTTGGGACATTGCGACATTGACCATTAGCAAAGAAAAGCGGAAATACATTTTGGTTTGGATGAGAATATTTGGGGCATCTTAGCCTTGCTGGATTGAATCTGTGACCTTCATATGAACGAATGTCCAACGGCATCACGGCCAATAATCCTGTTTTTGTGACCGACCGCACGCCGCCAGCATTTTGGCCACATGCAGTATAACTACAAGCTAAGCAGACCTGTCCTGAGCTTTCCATCCCTGCAGCCCCTGTTCCACAAATCATGTCAACTTAGCCTGAAGCCAACTTTCTCGAAGGTTGGTTATTTTGGTCTCTACCCATAGTTCCAGGTCCTAGTTTAGCGGGTTCAGATTTCAGCCAACTGGGAAACAGTATTTTATTTTCATAACCCTGCAATGACAGCCCTTCATTTTGTTAACCAATGTTTAGTTAGTTATTAGTTTGAAAATATTCCTTTACTTAAGGTCAAACCTGCAAATGTATAATAATAGTACTCAAGAACATTTAATATAGCCTGACATGTGTTACGGGCCTCGGCAGTGTCTTATTTCTTCACAGGTAAAGCACTCCTCCACCCTACGCACCTCCAGGGGATTGTGCCTGGAGCATCGAGTCCCGTGGTCCCCTGTTGTGGCTGTCTCCTCCCCCAATTGCGACGGCGACCAATCCGGCTGCCTTGTCCTCGTGGACAAGACTACAAGAAGCCCTGGGGGATGTTGACTGTGTGGTTTTATGTGATCAGTGCGCCTAGATGTATTTTGTCCTGGTGTAGGTCTAGTGATAAGTGTGTATTGTTTGCTCTCAGGTTTGTGACCGTTGGTAAGTGTAACTGTTGGGCTTTAGGTTAGTTTGTAACACTTCACCCAGTGTTTTTCTGATATTTCACTAGGCCTTATGGGTGACTGCCAAAATTTATTTATATATATGAGGTCAGAGTGCATAGTAGGAAAGACAGTTTTTTGTTTTTCTTTGAGTGAAACTGTGAGTATGGGGAGTAGGGACCACGATTAGGAAGAGGGGTGGTTTTTGTTCTTTCTATGAGTTGCCATCACCCTCTGCCCGTTGTGCCCGAATATGTTTTTTACTATTTATTGTGGTTTATGTAAAACATTTAGCACTTAATGATAAAAAGGCTGTGTTGCCGGACACCATCTGCGCTGTGTTGCTTTCCTTTTGTACTAGACAAAATCTGGGTTGTAACAACATGCAATATTATTACAATAAAACTAGCAAAGATCACTTTGGACCAAGGCTGCAATCAAGTTGTCTCCATTAACATTCCAGGTAATGTGCAAAAGCACTGTGAAATGTGAATGAAGCACATATATGAAGACAATACAAGACACATACCTTGACCATTAGCGCTATGAGGATGTCCACAGAAACTGTTTTCAGTGTCCAGTACATTATGTGAGGTACAATATGTCACTCCTGTCTTCTTTAACTGGTTACTGCATACACTGCATTAAAACTACTTTAAATTACAGTTTGAAATGATCCAGATTTTTTTATTATTCTTAATAAAGCAAACTATATTCTTAGTACTTAACATAACAAACCTTCTGAGGAGATAAACTTCCAAAATATCTTTCACAGACGATAACAATAATAATCAGTGCTATAAGTCTCGTAAGTTGTAGAACCTGAGGTTTGTAAATTGACATTAACCAATCAGATAACAGGTTTTGAACACAAACAAATAAATTGAAAAATCAAGTGTATATTGAAGGTGTAAGGCGATGTTGTAGGATCACTGTTGTAACTGGGTTAAAGATGTTTTATGTTATTAGTTAGAGGAATGCCCGGCACCTTGTCTATGCTGTCAACACCATAACAGCAAGTGCCCCCTGACCGCCCATCTGCAGCTGCTTAGTAAACTGCTCCCGAGACTACAAAGCTTGTTGTGGGCAAGTCATATACACTGTAAGCATGAGTGGAAGAAATAATGAATGGAGGCTGCTGTCTGCTCTTCTCACTTTAATCTGTTGGGTACATGTGAAGAGGTTGGTTACCAGGCCTACAAATACTCACACAGAGGTTTTTGTTAGTCATATACATTGTATATCCAAATTTTGCAGTCAACAGATCCAGTGAAACAGATGTGTTTTTTTTATAAACACTGCAAAAGACTGTATGATTAGGAATTTCAGTGAGCTACACTATATTATATACAATGCTTACTTAACTAGCTTTAGTCTGTCTACGTAGCGCGCACTACTATGTTGTTCTATGTTGTTACTTTTAGCTCATCGGTCTATTCTTACTTTTTCTTCTCAACTGCCTTGGCGAACTTCTGGATGTCCTCAGCCATCAGATGGGGCTCTTCCATGGCAGCAAAATGGCCGCCGCGGGCCATGGGAGAGAAGGTCACCAGTTTGCGATACTTCTGTTTGACCCACAGCTTGGGCGTGTGCATCAGCTCGTCGGGGAAGCAGGCGTACCCAGTAGGCACATAAACTGGTATCCTGAGGAGAGAGGACGATGGGTTCACATCAAGAGAGGGTATTGCAGAGAACACGGAACATCCAGTCTGAGAGTCATTTTTAATATTAGAAATATTATTAAGAGTTACTGTTATGAGTTCTCTGCTTTCATGAGCTTCTTGGAAACATGATTGAACAATCTGTTCGGAGTTTGATTAACAGTCAAAATCAACAAACATGAGAATAAACATTTCCTGTGAAAATTTGTGACAAATTTAAACACATGGTCCTTGACTGCACAGGGAGTAATTTAAATATATACATTAGTGTGTATGTGTGTATGAGTGTATGTTCCCTGTCCGCAACAATCAATATGTGTGGGGTTGTTGATGCTCTACACCTGTGATGGCGAGTGCACAGGAAGGCTGCTGTAGATGTAGAGAGCAGGAAAAGCTGAACTTGACCGTTCTTCATAAAATTACTTTTGTATGTTGTCATTGTTCGGCACATGTGCTCTGTTCTATTTGCTTTTAACGTCTTCTCATTGTTACAAATAAGATGATTATTTAATTATCCACATGTCTTGGAAAGGGGGGAAGAAAAGGAAGTGGTTTTGTCTTCCGCAAAACTAAATGTTTAAAATCTTAAAAGGCACGTGTACAATTGTAAATCATGTAGCCTGCATTAGGGCACGGTCACAAAATCACAAATGGTTTGGTGGGTGAACCTTTGCCGCCCTTTCACTTCCAATCTGTGAGAGCGAGGAGGCACAGAAAACATTTGTCCCCTGTGACAAAGCAAATCACAGCACAGCTTTGTGTGGGGTCCAAGTTTGGTGAACTTTGACCCGCAACATTCGCTTCACATCAGGTATGTGTGACTGTGCCCAAACACTGTTAATGATTTTGTTTTGTCTGTCACCGATTGGCCAACACAAACTCTTTCTTTGTCACTCACTTAGTGTGCGGCCGGTCGAGACCTTTGCCGATGTTTTCCTTGTAGAACCTCATAGACGGGATGATGCATCCAGAAACCCAGTAGATCATTACATTAGTCAGGAGGTCGTCCAGAGAGAACTTCCTACAACACGTTGCACAAACAATATTTAATACTGCAGCAATTACAAGAATGGTTCTGCTATGAGGCTTCTGAGTCGTAGCTACCGCAGGAAGTTAGTACTGTGGACTATTCTGACTTAACTTTCTCTAAACAGTCCCATTTAACAATTTAATGCATATGCTGCTACCACCAAATATATGATATACTACTAATGGCGCATATTTGTAAAAGATAGTTTAATACAACATCTTCATACTGTAAACGATGAAGGGGATGTACTTAATGGCACATATCCGCACTGACTCCCCACTGGGTACCTGGTAAGTCCGCCGTCCTCCAGGCTCCTGAAGTCACGGTTGGTCCATGTGGAGAACTTCTCCAGAATGTAGGTTGCCAGACCCACTGGGGAGTCATTCAGTCCTCGTCCTGAGAGGGAAGTCAGAGTCAGAAATGTGTTAATCAATCAAAACTATTTGTATTTGATTAGATCAAGAGTCAATTAACCCCGGCCAGTCCACTTAGGCAGTCTAACCAAACCATCAGTTGGTTTTCTTCAAACTCATGCTAGAATAGTATATAAAAATATTTTTTTTCAAAGAAATGACCTTTTGTAAAAAACCTGCTTGTAGTGTTAGTACATCATGGACATTTATATTTTAAAAGTTCTGCTCTTGGAACCTGTTTCTACTTACACATAGATCACACACGAGGCCAGCGTCTCATTTCTTTTGATCAGTTAAAAGAAAATAATCTCATGTTGCAAGTTGAAGCTTTCCTACTACAAATTCAGTGGAGACGGGCTCCAGATCCTTACCCACGGTGTCAGGCTTGGTGGCCTGGATGTGCATGTAGCCACTCTCTTTGAGGGACTCCACCACCGTTTTTTCCATGTAAGGGTAGAGACGCTGAATATCCATGTCGGTGAAGCCAAAGAGTTTAGGGAAGTGGCGGCCGAGCACGATGGATAAAATCATGGTCAGACCAGGCTTTGAGGGTGGGGCAAAGTTCACATGCAAACCTTTGACTATCCTGGTATGAAGAAAAAACACAAGTAAAACACTGGGAAAAGTACAAATACTCTATGTAGATAGTGTATAATCAGAGGGCTGGTGTTTCCAGGAGAACCGGTTGTACCCTCCGAAGTTAAACAAGCAAACTTTATGAAAACAAAATATGCTGTGAAATTTCTGAATGATAAGAGACCATATGTACAATCAGTATTTTAGAGTGTCGAGGCAGGTGTTGTGTTTATTACTTGGGCTCCAGCTGGGCCATGTTGGTGGTGACCAGCCAACCCCAGTCTCCTCCATGAGCGTAGAACTGCTGGAATCCCAGACGCTTCATGAGCTTGTGGAAAACGTTGGCAGCACAAACTGAATCAAAGCCTGTTCACAGACACACACACATTCAGATATTGTAGTATAACACATGTAGCTTCCACAGAGGAAGAGGATCATCTGATATCATTTTATTGCTTGCTGGTTTTCCATTGCAAATATACATACTCTTTTACTAGATATGTTTAGCTATTTTAGTACACGACACATAAAACATTTTATCAAAGAGTTTGGTTTTAGTAAGTTATTTCATGCTATAAAATGAGGTGAAGAATCATGACTGACAGATGTGACTGTCTTGCGATTAGTCGTTTTTGTGTGTGTCACAGGACTCTGCTACTATGACTCCATCACCCTACTGTCCAAACTTTGGCTCTGAGTGATCCAATCTATTTATCTCATCCTTACATTGTTTTTATACCCTTTTACTAGAAATGTATATTTTATCCAGCTGTTATTTTGTTGAAATGATGCACAAAGCACAAAAAACGTTTGTCTTCTTTAAAGGGAACGTCTGTCCCATGTCATAAAGAAAATAATCTTCCACACGCACCTTTCTTATGTGGTGCTTCAGAGAAACCATACCCTGGTATGGAGGGACACACCACCTCAAACACAAGGTCGTCTGGGTTTGAGGGTTCTGTCAGCAGTGGGATCAACCCGTAGAACTCATAGAAAGACCCAGGCCAGCCGTGAACCATTATCAGAGGAATAGCAGTAGTTCCCTCTGGCACTTTTTTGGGCTTCACATGCAGGTAATGGACATCAATACCTGTATGGAATTTGAACAAGTATGAATAAGTTGGAGATATGACAGTATCTTCCTCAGGAATGTATTGGTAGCAGTGCAGCCTCACCTTCAATTTTGGTTTTAAAGTGGGGGTACTGGTTGATTTTGTCAACTTGTCTCTTCCAGTCAAAGTCGTTTCTCCAGTAAGACACCACCTTCTCCAAATAGTGGGAGTTGAAGCCATAATCAAACCGGCTGTCCTCCAGTGAGGCAACGGGACGCGTCTGATCTATCCTACGATACAGGTCCTGACAGAAAAGACAAGAAGATATGTGAAGGCTCTCACAATCTTTCTATTTAAAGTGTGTTTAACTACATCATCAATAAATGCTATGGTGACAAACAATGAGGGGAATCTGACCTCCAGCTCTTCATCACTGGTGGTGACTTCAAATGGGCGGATGGTGATGTCCTCCTCACCATCAGGGGCCGCTCCAGTTCCCCACCAGCCATCCACGGCATTCAGAACCTGGTTCCTGTTCCTCTGAACCAGGTAGAAGATAAGCCCTCCAACCACTATACCAACCAGCACCGCTGTGAACATGGCGCTCAGTGTCCACACCAGGACAAGAATGGATAGATGGAGAAAGACAGAGCTGGACAAGGGAGAGGGTGAGACAGCACAAAGACATGACATGTTACTTTTGAGTGTATTCAGACCCCTTCACTGTTTGTTACCTCCACCAAAGAGGTAATATTTTTGTCTGCCTTTGTTAGTTAGCAAGTAACTCAAAAACTGCTGAACTAACATCCATAACATTTTGTGGAGGGGATAAACCAGCAGATCAAGATCAATTATTTTCACTTTCTTGAACATTTCGCTTTGGTAGAGGTATGTGCTCTTCAAGTTTCCTGTAGATTTCAATTTGGTCCACCAATCTACACTCAGCAAAATATAATAATATTGATAACCCATTCTAGATGTTTAGGGGGGACTATTTATTAAAGATGAAATCTCTAATTTACAAAAATATACAAATCCTTTATCAAATGTTTCCCCTTCTTTAGATTAGATGGTTGGTGTTTGTGAACTACCATCTTCACGTCTCCCGACACATGTTCTGTTCTGTGGGTTTACCTCTGGGGACTCTCAGGCACAGTCTTGACCTGCAGACCCTCTCATAGCCCCAGTGTCAGGTCAGGTTTTCTTGAAGGACCTGAATTCTGATGATTCTCCTTGTCCATGCCCCTTTAGCATGATGTTGAAATCACAATGCTTCAACATAGGGATGGACTTTGACCACCACAGTGTTCACCAGACATAATGGGCCTCGTGCTAGAACATGTAGTCTTACCCTGAACCTCTCTTGCATTGGTTGGTTTTGTAAGAGTTTGCAAAAACGTGACACATCAGATTCAGCAATCGCTTCTACCTTCAGTGGAGAAGCGTTTGAAAGTATGCAACCGTTACAAGTAAAGAGTGAATATTAAAATGTTCTCTTTTGCCTTTATTTAAAGTAGGTTTCTGTCAGTTGATTGTACCTGATATAGTCAAAGTTATTCTTTTGTCAAACAAGTCTGACAAACTAAACAAATATTTGATACTGAAAGACGAACAAAGGTCACCAAACCTTACGCTTGAAATATAACTTGAAAATGAGCTTGTATCAAAGATTAGCTGTAGCTGATAGATGCCAGAGAAGACAGTGGTAGGTTTAGCATCTTTTGTTGTAACACAATGATCTACCAATTTTGTAGGAATGCAACACGTGCACTTGCAAACTTAAAATTGTGACAAGTTAGGAGGAGATAACACAGATATTTGAAGACTGCAGCCTGACAATAACACAATTAACAGGTTTCAGTGTAGCTTTCTCTGCCAGTGATGTAATCTGAGTTTGGGCCACACAGATTTTATTTGTCATGAGTTTAGAGAAAAATGTGGAGGCAGCCAAACAAAGGGGTTATTGTTGCTGTTATTGTGGTTGTGGTCCACTGAGAGGATTTAATAAAGAACAGGCTGACCAGGCCACTCACTCAGCCACAGCTACTGAGAGCTGCATGACAAAGAATGTGTTAACTCATACAGGAGGGCTGCAGGCATGTAAACACAAACACACACACACACACACACACACACACACACACACACACAGACTATGTGGACACTAAAGTCTTGGTGATACAGATACAGTGATTATTAAAAAAATATTATTACTGGGTTCTGTAACTGTTTATGTTATCTTACCGTAATATGCTATAAGTTGTTTTATACTAACCCTGACACACACACACACTAACCCTGACACACACAACCCTGTACTTGTATATCAATGAGGAAATTCACTGGAATGACACAATCCCTTGCCCTTTACCCCAACTGTAACCATCAAAACTAAATTCCTAAGTCTTAACGCACAAATAGTCCATTGGAAGTTCGTCAAAACAGGGAGGAACGACCAAATAGTCCTCACTTTACCAAAAAAGTACTCACTTTGTTAAGTCTAGACTCAAAATTGTCATCACTTAGATATCTGTACTAGTACACAGAGATGGAGAGAGATAGAGAGAGAGAGAGAGTGACTTGCACAGCTCTTTGTACAGATCAACCTGAACCTTATCCGTACACCTAATCTTAAAGGTTCAGTGTGTAAGATGTAGGTGAAAGGGGTCTATAGGCAGAAATTAAATATAAAATAATCCTAGTGATGTTTTCACTACTGTGTTTCATCTAAACTGTCCAAATATTTTTTTTCTTTACTCTTAATGAGCCCTTTATATTTAAATACTTTATATTTACATTGATAGTGGGTCCTTTCTACAGAGGCTGCCAAGTGAACTGAACACCTTTTGAGTTTTTATGAAAACTGAAGCTAACACAGGTTATCGTTCATGTTTGGAAGGGGAGGGTGAGGTGAGGGGTGTTCAGCTGCAACATGCAACTTCACCACTAGATGTCACTAATTTCTACACACTGAACCTTTAATAGAGTATTACCTGTAGAGGTAAGGAAAATGAGTGCAAGTATATAAATACTATATAGAGCTCAAGTGAAACTGTTTGGAGTCAGCCCGGTTACCTGCCCGGAACCGCACCGTCACACCTCTATTACCGGAAGTCTCCCACACACAACATGCACATATACAAAACAACACCCTGATCATCACTACAGCGCCACCCAGCGGAGGTACATATATATAGAGAGAGAGATAAAACACCATGTAAACTCTCTTACATGAGTATGGACTCTGACAAACACACTGTTGACACAAACTGTCCTTTTCTAGAACATACTAGAGCCCCCCCCCCACCACCACCACCACTGTTAGCACCATGGTTAGCACACACACTGCTGTCACTAGCACAGTGAGTTCACTAAGCTAGTGACTCTGGTCAGAAGCTGCTCTCTGACTGTCTGCATTCAAGCTAGTTCTTGGTAAACCTCAGCTGGGCAGAGACAAGTTGTTGAGTGATAAAGTACGACGTGTGTTTCGAAGTTGACTTTTGAACTGTACACACACTTGGGTGGAGGTGGAGGTGGCGTCCTGTGTCGCAGGGACGAGAACGTTGTTCCAAAAGAAATCTCCACTTTTCAGAAACGAGGTTTAAACTCAGGGTCCAGCTTTAATGACGTATTCCACTCTTCGGATAAACGACGACATAACTCACATGCAACACAAGTTGTCCCTCTGGATTTACCTGCTGCTGCTGCTGCTGCTGCTGCTGCTGCTGCTGCTGGTGATGGTGGTGGTGGTGGTGGTCGCCTCTCTGCTCCCGCTCCTGTACTGAGCTGTGTGGTGGAGGAGAAGTGTGTGAAAGGGACCAGTCAACAGTGAGCCGTCATCAGCACGGTTCCACTTTCTACGCGTCTACTTGTGTCTTTACGGTAAAGCGGTACAGCTCGTTGGAGCGTCCAAACAAGTAAACCAATGTTTTATTGTAATATTTGCACGCTCATGCAAAATATTCCATGAGAGGTTAGGAGTAATTTCCAGAGAAGACTGATCTCAATTTTCAAAATTAAACTCCTCTAAGCTGGGAAAAGGCATTTTCCTTTCTTTTTTTTTAAACAGTTATAACAATTGAATTGTTAATGAATAGCATGTCAGTAATGGTCTGCATGAGGAGCTACAGACACAGAGTGGATTAAATATAATGCAAAAGAAACAATGGGGGGAAATGAAACCACTTGTTTAGCACTCTAGATATTCAGTTTGTTAATCACACTTCAAATTTAGTTTCCATTTGCATTTCACACTGCCTGTTTCTTTATCATGGTAAATAATAAAAGAAAAAACAAGAAATAATAATAATACACATTTTTCCGATTGTATCTATGATTAAGGAAATCATGCTTAACAAAATGCACAACAATAAACACTAATAGAAAAATAAATTAACAACGGGGAGCATACGACCTAGAGTGAGAGTAAAATGTATACAAAAGGAACAATGAGAAAACATGACATGTCATGTGCACTCTAGATATGACTGTTGAACCTTTAGATTAAAACACACGCTCTCCTGTTCAGTCACTGTATTACTGGGAAACTTCAATGATCACTGCTGAAGATTGATGCTGAGGAGGGATTCAGGGATTTAGATGCTCCAACTTTCAGCCGTGGCTCGTTCCAGGTCCTTGGTGTCCATCTCCAGGCACTGTTCATGGAACCATCGTTCACACGTGTCACATTGAATCTATAAAATGACGGAAATCTCAAAAATGATTTCAGAGTGCTCTCTCACATTTAAGTCGAGAGTGACAATAAGAACTGTTAGGATTGTATAGACGCTGCATATTACATTGTGCAATCAAAATTGACAAATACTAATGTGCATAATAATTACTTAAAGCAAGGAAACATCTCTGGATACTGTTAATTAATGTTGCCAAATAAGTAACAAGTACAGTATCAGTTTTCATATGCATTTCAATATGATCTCAATGGAATATTCTGCAGTTAAGTGACACGACATCTGATATAAGGAAATATCAAATGAGACGTTAAATAAAATATTATTGTGTTTATGTAATTTTTTGCGGCTTCAACGATCTATACTGCTTTACCGTAAATGCAGAAGTAGACGCGCAACAAAATCCAAGGGCCTCTAGCTTCACCGTGCTTTCACACATGACAGCTCGTTCCTCAATGTACTGAGAACAGCAACTGTAGTTCAAGTGAAATACATGCAATCAGAGGTTCTAGCTAAAAACACATGTATGTCAATAAACTGTGTATTCTCTGTAGATTATTTGTCCCTACAATGCTAAATATGTTTGGAAAGGTACATACTTGAGCCTTACAGAGATAATACATGTTATTATGCATACATTAGGTTATATTACTATTAAAAGTTTGATTTTAGATTATGTCCTATTCATTTAGGTTTACTATTGTTTTTACTTTTAAATATCAATCAATTTATGTATTGATCTATCATCCACTTTATTGAAAGTGGATGGTATTGTGTGTCTTTGTTATCTTGTGGTTGTGTGTCTGACTGACTTATGCTGTATGAGACAAAATTAATTTCTGTAAGTACAAAATAAACACAAGCAAAGGACAAAAGCAATTGACTTAAGTAGTGATAAATATATAAATAAATCAATACTTAAATCATGGAAAAATGAAAATGTGTGCGGAAAAGGCACAGTATACGTATATTTCTGTGTCCATATGTTAATTTGGAAAAGCGGGGCTCAACTCAGTCTCAAGCTGGATTGGTTACAGCAGTGTCGTCCTCAGATCTACAACTGTCTTGAGTTGGCAGGTACATGAGAGTTTAGCCTTTTGCTCTGTAGAGCTACAACATTGTGAACCACAGACAGCAAATTAATATGTAACTAGAAAAAGAAATGCTCGGTTTTTTTCTGAGCACTATCATGTTGCCATTTCAGGTCTTTGTACAGAATAAAACACACTTCACCACAAGACAAATATAGGAGAGATACTGGGGTAAATAAACATTTATTGAAAATGTAACGCAATTATCTTCTGTGTAGGAAATGGCATTTGGAGGCATGGGGGCTTTAAAATCGTGGGTTTCTCCACACTGTTACAGAAGGTCCTGCTTCATCCATGTGGCACAAGTCCATGAAGAAAAACTAAAATTGCAACATAGATGTAATTAGGCGAGACATGCGATGGCCTCAATATCCGTCCTTTCATCCCCTTTATAAATAAAGGCAATAAAGGCAAACCTCTAGAAAATCATATCCGCTTAAACAGCAGCAGGGGATTTGTCATTTTCATACATTTTGTCCCACAATCTCCCAAACCCACTCCTTCCCTCATCTTAATATTTCCTAAAACTCCCCAGAAGCTTTCCCTACTTAATATTAATACCATCAAAGATGTGATTGAAATGCTTAACAAGGAAAAGTAAGATTACAGGATTTTCATGATTAAGAATGTATTATCATAAACAAATCCTGAGAATAAAATATATACAGTATTTATACATCACATCTCTGACAGCATGAAATAAGTGTGGGTGGGCAAATCAACCTCGCCACAGTCCCTCTTCACCATCTCCCCTCTCTCAGACTCCCATGGTGCTGTGCTCTCAACAATCACTGTGTCCTCTGAACTCAGTCCAGGTGCTCGAGAAGATCAGTGTTCCTAGAGCATCTTTAATCAGTCTCCATGGCACCGCTGTGCGTCTCCTTCGACACCATGAGTCGCATCAGTTTTCCGTGGAGCTTCTCGATCTTCTTCACGTCTTGGGCCTGGTCTGTCTTGTACTGTAAACACTGTAGAGATGGACAATGGACTGAATGAGGGCAGTGAGGAAATTATCCAGAGCTCAGAGCATGAGAGTCTGAAGGCAACTTTACTGTATCAGTAACTACAAGGCTTTCAAGGGTCCTAAATAGACCAGACATAACTGAATAAAAATAGGAACAGGTTTCAAAAGTTGAAATAAAAGATCTCAGATGTTTTTTTGAGCACACAAAAAACTTAAATTTGTGTTAGTGAGCACACTCCATGGTTACTGCACAGGAGAGAGCTTGATTGGTTGCAAAAAAGGACACTACAACATTTCAAAGTTCATAAAGCACCACAATGCCACATACTGAGTGGTTAAATCATAACCACTGACCCTCAAATTCAGTTATGAATATGTGTAAACATCCGGAAATGAAAATGTCCTATATTCTAGATAGTGGTGTAATTTAAGCGTGCTTGGATGCTGCATTTACATTTTGGTTCAGTGTCTTCTAGCCGTAAAACAATAGCAAAAGTGATATATCTGTTCCTCGATAGAAATATAAGACATGGTCGATACAACGTGGATAGAACTCATTCCATCCATGTTTTGACGGAAAACACGAACAGCCAATAATAATGAGGAAACAACGTCATTTACACTGTGTTTTGGAACAGGCTAAGCTAGTGGACGTAGCCGGATGACGGTGTGTCCGAGGGGCCGTGAATGCACCTTGAAGCAGATATCAGTGGACTTGTAGGAATAAAACACAGAGTGACCCTGTTTCGAGTCCAATATGAATATGGGGGCAAGCTAACCCTTGGATGACACCAGCCGAGCAGTATGGAGGAATGTTTTGATAATTCGGTTGTTTTATTACGTCTGAAGAAGAGGTCACCATTGACTCTTATATTGGATTATGCTGCAACACTGTCAACCCTAGAGACTCCAACAATGTTTTGTGGACTCAAAACACTTCACCCACCCCCCATCAGCATAGCAGTGAGTAGATAATGAGTGAATTTTCATTTTCAGGTGAACTATCCCTTTAGTGACTATGCTGATCATTGACTTTTCCTCCTGAACACAAGTCAGATATGTTTTAGTCCAATGCTTTGGTTTGTCTGTCAAACAGACCGCATCCCTTTGCAACTAGCAAAGCTATGAGCGTGTCATCAGATGAGTGCACTGGTGCATTGTGGGAAGGAGTGTTGATACAATTAGCCAAGACAAATAGGTCAACACAACACGAGCGCTTGCTGTTGGATTTCGTGTGAATGATCCTCAGACACACTTTTCATAATGGATGTGATCATGTTTACAAGTCTCTTTACAGAGTAAATTACCATCATTCAAATTCACAAGAACTGCAATAGAAAGTTTAAACTTCTGTGATATGAAGTGGAAGCATCAATATTTCACAAATGGAAAAGTAACCATAACTACTCAACATCTTGATCCATTGATTGATGCCTATTAAACATTAAAAAGTGGCTTTTCCTCCCGATCCTTACCACGGAGTTGTCGGTGACTTTAATGCAGAGGTTCCCGTCGCAGTGTCTGTACTTGAGAACCACTCTGACCTGTAGACACAACGCCAACACGTCAATCGGACAAGTTAAAGTTTCGAAAGTGAATCAGATTCGTCAGTTAGTCGCTATCAAGCTAGCAGGCTAACGTGCTACCCAGCTAGCATCGCAGCCGTGGTCCTAAACGACGTGTTCTCACCTTCATGGGATCCGTCAGGTACAGTTTTTCTGCTGCGCGGGCGAACTCCTCCCAAGTCTGGAAATAAGGCATGGTTTCTGGGTTGGACTGGTGGCCGTGGCACCGAGGAACGAGCTTGAATCCCAGGTTCGAATCCGCTGAACAGGTTCTGAGCTCCGAACACCACATCAGCAGCAGCGCGCCCCTCAGCCAATCAGAGCCGAGAGAGCGTGGAGGGCTAATCACTTCCGGGTTACCTTTTCGAACTAATGCAAATGAACGAGAAAGTAAATTGAAGAGTGAATCGAACCTGGTTATATAATCGATTTTGTATAGAGTTTTAATGTCAGCAAGAAAGTGAAATATGTATCCACACCCGACATGCCAAGTATCCCTCTGCCCCCCCTCAGTGGACTTTTGTTTTGTCATTTTCCAAACAGTTTCCTGTGCTGCATTCTGTTGAGGATTTCTACATGGCGCCCTCTAGTGTTCACCCTTAAATCTGATTGAAGACCAACGTGGGCCTTTTCCCAGCAGAGTGCAGGACTGTCACTTTATACCCTGCACGTGTTTTAAAATGTCATGTTTACCATGACAGACATTTTACATTTTACAATAATTCCAGTTCTTGAGGCAGGAGCATTTCAAGGGCCTTTGCAGGCTCCAGGCAGAAGGGACCTTATGTTGAATAAAACCGAGCGCCCCCCATGTCACCATCCCAGACGTGTCATGCACACAAGTTTAGACAGAAAGCTTACAGCATGTGGTCTCATTAGGGAGTTTCCATCTAGGGAGTTGCTGGCGTCTCCTGAACATAGGCTGTAAAAATTGTATTATTATTATTTTGCTTATGAAACAAGGTGTGATGGGTTTGTATTTTTGGGGTATTATTTGTTTTCTATCGTTTATTTGTGATCATATTAAATGTAGGTCATGTAGGATATGGGTGAGGGTTAAATGAGCACCTGTTCACCTTCGTGGGGTGGAGAGAGGGTGAGTGGGGATGCCATATTTTTTGTTGACCACTATGCTATTTTCAATTTTATCACTGTGATTGCTTTATTCTATGAGTTTGTACATGATACAATAAGTTGATCATCTTTTTCTTTAATTAAAGTTGACACAAATGTTTAGATTAGCATTATCATTCAAACTGTTACGTGTATTGAGTGTGTGTGTGTGTGTGTG